AGAGAGAGAGAGAGAGAGAGAGACAGAGACAGAGAGAGCGAGAGCAGTCAGAGACCTTGCTACTTCCATTTGGTAAATATGCCTTCCTTGCCAGGCAGACTGCTTGGGAGAGCAAAGGTGAAGACAGATTTGGAACATCTGGGGCAGGGCCACTCTAACAGGATGGGGCAGAGGTGGCTAGGGAGCACCGAGGCTGAGCTCATTCAGGGATGGAGAAATATGGAGGAGGACCGTGGTGGTCTAAATTCCCAGAGAGGGCAGATAGTATTGGGAGCCGAGGAAAATGGGAATTTGGAGAGGAGGAGGGATCTTGGATGACCTGCAAGGCTCTTTCTGAGGGGTGGAGAGAGCTGGGCACAGATCCTGTGTAAGCTTCTACTGGGGCCTGTGTGGGGGACCGAATATCCCAGTTATGGAATATTTTGGGTTCCAGGCTCTGGCTGCCATTGGCGCCAGGAAGCTCCGGGTCACCATTGTATTGTTAATTAACACCATAGCCTCAAGGTAATATGCCTCTTATTTGCATCTGCATGTGCCTAAGCATCTGAATAGGCCCTCACCTGGGCGGAGGAGAGAGAGGTGTAACATGGGAGGACAGAAGGTTGGGAGTGAAGTGGCAATCGGCCAGAGGACAGAGCAGAGAGGAGAACAAAGAGAGAAATGGTTGCCTCGTGTTATTAGCAGGATGGTTAAGAAACATCAGAAAAGACGGCTAATAAAGAAATGATTCTGGTTCCACAACATGGAACTGAGAGCTCTCTGAAGATGACAAGATGCTTGTGTTTGATCTTTATCGCCGTTGGGTAGCTGGAAGCTTCCAGGTCCACACCCCCACTCAAGTAGAACCTCATGGACTAAGGCTGAGACAAGCCAGGTCACGACAGGCCTGCTGATAAACTGTCCTGAGGTAGCTGAAGGCCAACACTGAAGGCCTCTAGGTTAGAGGGAGGTCAATAAGTAGGGTTTGCTATGGGCCATTTGATCCTAGATGTGCGGTCGTGTCTAACAGCATCTCTGTAACAGGGCCAGCAGAGAAAGCCCTATGGGTACCATCACTGGTGGGGGCCCCAGTCCTGTTCATGTTTTCTGAGCACCCTCAGTTCCACTGTGATGAAATAGACCAGAAGTCTCTGAAACACCACAACATTCCCTTTGTTTAAACATCGGTTTCAAACCTCTTAGAATATACTCGGCCAGTACTGACGCTGAAAGGCGTGTTCTTTATATATTGAACTGCACAGCTGCAAGGAGTTGCACAAATGTTACCAACTCATTTGTCATGCAAACAGTGCTTCAGAAAGAAATAAAATACTATTATGTGGTATATGTGTTAGGCAATCACTATATCAAATCCATGGCATTCGTGCAAACACAGGCAGAGGAAAAGAAAACAACACTTGGTGAGAGAAATCACACCACATGGGAGCAGCTAAGCCGGGGCGAATGGGAGGTAGCGACAGAAGCCCGACAGAGCGGAGGCTGTAATTTTCCCGGCCATGTGGCCAGCACTGAATACTCCTGGGGTAGAACTAGCAGCAAAACGATGAAACCCTTACAGAGGAGCATGGCCCAGGGTCCCAGGGAGGTAGGCCGGCCATGGGGGTAGCAATGGGAGTGAGTGAAGCCACCGGGAGAGCTCAAGGGGTGGGTGGGAAGAGAACCGAATGAGCCACGGTGATTGCTAGGAGAAGGGAGGAGTTGAGGGATGAGGAAGGGAGAGGCAGAGGGTAGGAGTGGGGCCATGAACTGTTCCCAGTTGTCAGGCTTCTCCGTTTCTCTTCCAGGATTCCCACTAAGACCTTTCACATAACCAAACCACTCCCCAGCCCACCCCCCAGGGCTCCCAACAGCTGCAAAGACTCTGGTGAGGGAGGAGGGTGTTCTGAGGACCTAACACAAATCACCTCTTCTAATCCTCATAGCAACCCTCTGGGAGTTCTGGGAAACAGGCTAGGAATGTTAATTGGGAATTATCACACACAGGATGGTAGCATATTGGAAATCAAACTGCAAGGCTCTGCAGCTCATCACCTGGACCATAAACTACAGGCACAGGACCTCCCGACCCCACCCCTCAAGGGAATTCCACCAGGTGCCAAGCCTCTTCTGACCACACTCCTGTGCTCGTGGGAGCCCGGGACATAGGGATGCTGACTCCCTGGCGGGTTTGGAGTCACCTTGTGACAGGTCTGCTGTGGAATATTTAACTAGGCCACGGTGCCCTGCATTTGTTTCTGCTGCATTTGTTTAACTATGGAAAAGCGTGCTGCTGGTTCACCTTGCCTGCCTAAGGCACCTGATTGGTTTAATACAAAGCCGAACAGCCAATAGCTAGGTGGTGGAGGCCAGAGAGAATAAATAGAAGGAAGGCTCTAGGTTCAAGAGGAGAACAAGGAGAGTGAATGAGGGAGAAAGAGAGGGAGATGCCCGGGGCTGCCAGCCAGACATGAAACAGGACATCCAGAAGGAAAGAAAAGTAAAAAGCCCTGAGGCAAAACACAGATGAAGAGAAACAGGTTAAAAATAAGTTATAAGAGCCGGTGGACAAGCATAAAGCCAAGGCCCAGGCATTCGTAACGAATAAGAAGTCTCTGTGTTTTGATTTGGGCTTCTGGTGTCCTAGAAAGCCTGGTACACAGGTCTTCCTTTGCACCACCAGCTTAAAAATAATGGCATGCAGGCTTTTTATTCAATACGAAAGCTTGGCTTTACTTAGGCTTGTCCCCAACTAGCTCTTAAAACTTAAATTAACCTGCTTATATATTAATCAATGTTGTAGTGAATCTTTCTTGTCAGACTGCCAGCCCCAAATAATGACACAGAGACTTCTTAATTATGAAAGCTTGGCCTTTAGCTTAGGTTTGTTCCCAACTAGTTCTTATAACTTAAATCAGCCTGTTTCTATTTATCTATGTTGTCATGTGGCTTTTTACCTCTCTTCCATTCTGTACAGCAACTTGCTCTGCACCTCGCTGCCACCCCCCTCCCCCCAAGATTCTTACCCAGTTCCTGTCTCTCCCCAGAAGTCCCACCTAACCTCTCCTGCCTAGCTATTGGCTACTCAGCTCTTCATTGAACCAATCAGAAGGCGCCTCAGGCAGACATGTAAAACAGTGACAGGTTTCCACACAATGTAACCAAGTATCTGGCAACATTACCTTCGTGGCCACCGAGGATCAGTCTGCCCCAGAGAGGCAGTTTAAAAAACAAACGTTTGCTTTTATTGTATGCACAAGAGTGTTTCACCCACAAGTCTGCACCGGGCTCACGCGCCGCCTGTGGACGCCAGAATCAGATCCTCGGGAACTGGAGTCACCAATGGCTGCGCCACCAATTAGGTATTCGGGCCAAACCTAGTTCTTCTGCAAGAGCGGCCAGTGCTGCACACTCTTGCTCCTCATCGTTCGCCTGGAGGTGGCCTGAAGCAGTCAAGAGAGCTTGCCTGGCATGCTCTCCACCGCCCAGATCCAGCCCCCACTCCCACCCGGAGACTGCTGGCAAGCGATCGTGGTCTCTACTGGGAAGCCCATCCGTTCCATAAATCAACATTTTATTGGATATCTACCACACGCTAGCACTACGTTAGGATCGGAGAGAAACAAAGGAAAAGCAGAGGGCAGGGGAAGAGATGTAAACAACCCCCCCGCCTCCCAAAAAGAAAAAGAACACACACACCCAAACCACCTCTCGGACCTCATCAGCATGGCGGCTCTAGGCCGAACC